AATATTATGTCTGTCATTCAGAGTGTAGCTCACTTTAGGCTAGCCTCTGCTTATTGAGGTTTCTTCTCTGTCATATTCAATGATATAATATTTAGATTTGTTTAAAGTTCTTAATGCCAATAGTTAAAAAATTGAAACATTTGAATGAACTATAAAGCGTAGCCAGGCCTTGGACATGCTGATACCAACCTATGGAGCATCCCCAAGACATTTGTATGGCTCTGTTGATCGCAATTCCTTGTATAGCTTGTATTTTGATTTAGTTTATATTCTGCTTATGATGTATACCGTGTTCTTGTATATGAGAAAGCACAAGTGGGAAAGAGGTCGTGTATGCTCGAAATCTATCAGAGGAAGTAGCCTGCATTGGTGTGCATTACAGTATTTTGCTTAATGAAGGCCTCAGTTCTGAATATTGATATAAGTAGTTAAAAGGAAATTGGGGCCATTTTATGTGTTTATCTGTGTCAAGTCTTTCTGGTAATAAGAAACGCTTAATTTACGCATATTTTAATCCTGTGAAAGATTCTAGATAGAGAAAAGAAAGATACCTAACCTTCAACAAATGTTATTTTTGGAAACACGATTTTTGTCATTAAATGTTATATTATTTCACATATATAAAACAGATGTTATGTAAGAATGTTGTATATTTTAACATAAATCCATTTAGAGAGATTATCTAGATTCATTACTTTTCATAGTGCCTTTTTCACATGAGTCAGCTGGAAAGTCCGCAATAAACAGTATTTGCTGTATGTTAACAAATGACTTCTGTCTCACTGGCAAAAAGGATCTTTGCTACGTAGAGTGGGGATTACAGCTGAATGGAATGGGAAAAAATAGAGGTCCACTTTTTTTAAAAAAAACGATGTATCATTCTATTTGTGAGTGGGTAGAAACCACTCTGGAGTGCTTTCTTCAGTAATTTCTCTTCTTTCCGCCTCTCTTACCTCATCATCTTTTCCATCTACTACTTAGTCACAGTTGGTAACAGCAGTGAAAATTTATTTATACCGTACTTACAATTGCTAAATGCTTCCACATAAATACTTTATGGATATCTACAATAACTCTATGAATTGTATTTTTATAAATGAGGACATTTAGCTTCTTAGTGGCTAATTTTCACCAGCTTGTAAAGGATATAGGAGTCTCTCGTCCTCCATCTCTCTCCATAACACTGCCCCTTAGATAAAGCGGTACAAACGTTAGAATGATAAAGAAGAATTAGTTTAGATCTTTCACATTTCATAAGCACTGACACATATTTATAACTTAGCCTTTATTAAAGATCTCTGAAAATATAGGGATAAGACAAAATAAGATTAAAGAGTTAAGGTAACCTATGTGTAAAGTAGCATATCTGATATTAAAAGAATTTATGTAATTTGTCTTTATGCTATAAAACACCAAAGGAAAATACCACAAAGGTGGTAATTGTGGGAAGCAATTACCTCACTGTGGCTGTGGGGGCAAAGAAAAAAGATTCATGGAATTTAGACGCTTGAAGGGGAGGCACTACAGAGTGTGGATCCAGACATCTGAGGTCACTGGTACCTGAGAGTTTGTGGGAAAAGACCTCACGCAAGTCTGACAAACCAGTCTCTGAGAAGGGGGCCCAGCCTAACTGGTGCTATTGCTTCAGGAATTCAGAAAAGAATTCAGGAATTGAAAAAGTAGTTCAGAAAATCATGGAGCCGGGCCTTGGACCTTGGAGGAGAGCATGCCAGACAGCTGATGCTTGAATCTCTAAGAGGACACAATGAGGCTGCCTCTGGGAGCATGGGGAAAAGCAAATGGTAACTTGAACCAACTACTTCTCCTGGGAATCATTTGCTATTTGGAGAGTGAAGAATCATTATTAGGATGATGTTGGTAGGAACAGGAACTAAAACAGGAGGGAGAAGTGCCCTGTTGCCTCTCTAGCCTTCTGTCTCCCTGTGGCATATGCTTTGGGCAGAGCCTATCAGGCACCCACCAGGCAAAGCCCCATATCACAAAGATGAGAATAAAGGCACATACTTGAAGCTGAGGGAATAACATGTAACCCATTCCAGCCTCTAACTACTTAGCCTCTACTCTTGCTCTTCTATACGTAATTGAAATTCCATACGACAGTAATTTTTAAAAGTTTATGATTTTACCTAATAAGATGCAATCATCCTTTTCTGTTAAACAATATTCAATGTAGAGTTTTAATGTAAAGAATTGACTAAACAGGCAAAAAGAACACTGAGGCATCACAGAGATGGTGATAATAGAAAGCAGCTCCCACCCCTAGGGTTAGAGAGCAAAGGGAAGGAGTTGGGTTTATCAGCATTTAGAAGCCTGGAAGGAGGGCCCTAGAAAGCCTGGTCTTGGACCCATAAAGAGGAAGCACTGTCTGATGTCGGTGCTGGTGCTTCAGGGTCACAGAGGACAGCCTCCCTGTGGAGGTGGGGCAGAGACGCGTGAGGAGGGGATTCTGCCCAGTTCATGCTGGTACCTCTGAGGGAGTGCAAGGATGTTGGTCCTGAAAAAGTAGGAGTAAAAACTGGAAACTGGAATCATCTGCTACTGGAATCAACTGTTGGTGCCATAGTGAAGATCTGTTCACTGGTTTACAGCCATTTGATTTTCATGTACCTTTGTGTAGTTTTCTTCTAGTTTTTTTGTTCTTGGTTTTCATTGAGCTTCT